TGTATGTGGGTGAGTGAGTGCGTGCGTGCAGGAGTGTGTATGTGGGTGAGTGAGTGAGTGCATGCAGGAGTGCGTGTATGTGGGTGAGTGAGTGCGTGCGTGCATGAGTGCGTGTATGTGAGTGAGTGAGTGCGTGTATGTGGGTGAGTGAGTGCGTGCATGTGAGTGAGTGAGTGCGATGAGAATAGACTTCACATTTCCATAAAGATCAGAACACGTTCGCATTTCATATTATTCTGAGACATTTTGAGAATTTCTCATTTATGAAAAATGTCACCAGTCATGATCTCAGCAAATGTTTGTTTCCATGTGTTTCCATGACAACAACATGACACTAGATATATGATAAGAATACACATTGGCAGTTATACTGTGTACGTCTCCACGGAAACAAAGTTTACTGCTACCATGGCAATAACAAGTTAGCTGGCAGTACTAAAACTTAAAAGCCATTCACAGAGATATCTACCAAAATCTTTCATAGTAAATAAAAAACTGCTACTATGGTAACACAGATTTTGCTACAGAAGCAGCGGACGCTCGTCTCCACGGCAACGAGACGAGAACAGCTAATACGCGCGAGGTCGCCAGGGGGCGCACGCGCATGAAGGCGGCCCCACGTCGCGGGAGACTGGCCGGTCGGTTTAGCGACGCTGACCGTGGCGTGACATACATACACACAGAGATGGTGTCACTCAGTCGCTACACACAGGCCGCTACATGGGAACACTGCACGCCTATCAGCCGGCCATCGTTTCAACTACGCGAAGGGGAAACCACTGAGGTTATGTGTCGCGTGGCGGGAGCTAGGTCAGTCTCTGCGTCCCCTGCCAGCCGTCGTGGGTCGGGACCGTGTCTGTCGATCTACGACACTCACCTAACTTTGAAAGTCGAAAGCTAGCACTACGATTTCGTGTCCCCCCCTCCCCTCCACACCCCTTCATTCCCTACACACATATGCATATATATATATTATATACGTTACGTATTTCATCGACTCCCCCTCCCCTGTCAATCACCCACTTCATCCTCGTGCCTGTCCTTTAACGATCACGGTGGGTGGGTAGTATGGTTACCGTGGCGACGCCACTGTCGCTTCCTATTTGATCGGGTGGCGTCCGCATCACGGTTTTGATTCAATACTGGCTTCATCACTCGCGATCGACCGCCGATATTTTGATTACGGTGGGATTAAAACCTAAAGAGGATACGTCTACGATACTACGAGGCAACAGATCACAACACTTGTTTCGCGGGGTCTCCAACCCCATACCCCGGCGCGCCGCGACAACCCCTAGCAGCTCAATGAAGTCATACGCACCCCACCCCAACCCCCCTCCCGTCTCCCCTGAAGAGCCTACTCGTTAAAACAACCTATCGCAAACGAATCACTGAAACATGATTTGCAGATATAAACAGAAGGACTGTACAATGAGGAAGCGCCAGGCTAGCCTCGATCCACCGTGCTCTCGCAATAAATTAATCGGCGAGGCGGTGGAGGAGGACAGTGTGACGACGGCGGCACAATCCCGGCAAAACTAGCTTAAATAATAACGATAATAATTAGAAAACGCAAGCGACTGTACAGCTATGGGCACGTCTCACACGAGAGTGCGCAGACGATACCGACCCATGCCTCGCGTCTCGCCTGTCTCACACGAGAGTGCGCAGACGATACCGACCCATGCCTCGCGTCTCGCCTGTCTCACACGAGAGTGCGCAGACGATACCGCCGACCCATGCCCTCGCGTCTCGCGCTGCCATCGTGCGCAGCATGTGTACTCCGTCAGACAATAACCGATGACCGCATGCCTCGGCGGTCTCCGCCTGCTGCTCAAGAGCGCTGCAATTACTAATGCTGCTAGATCGCGAGCGGCAAGGAGTGGTACCGCAAAGGTGTAGGTACCGATACCCTGTCGTAAATAAGACCGAGGCACGACCCTCGGGCATCCAAGAATGCGCTGTGCGCATATTTCCCCACGCGCCGCCGGGACGCATTGTCCGAGAACTATAGCAATAAATCGATGTTACACGTGCTTTGAACAGTCATATTGGGCATGTTGCCTGTGTGGCGTGCGTGCGCGCCGCGTGCGTATCCAGTAGCGGTGCGGTGCGGCTTGCAGATAGCGGTGCTAGTTCATCAAAGAGCACAAGCTATTAAACTAGGTAGCTGTGCCAAAACAGGCTCAATACGGAAGCTGTCACTTCGATTAAAGGACCTACAATACCACTAAATGCGCTCCG